CTTTTTATGCCAAAATGAGCTTTATTTCCTCTATACGAATCACCGAGCCACACGCTTACTTACTATTCTAAACAAAAATACATCGTCAGCTTCTATAATTTTCTTTAATACAACTTTTACTAGCTGCATATTGCCTTGGATCTTGCTGTCACATCAAGCAAAACGGTGATACAATGATTTTATTATAGCAGTTGCTATTATAGAATGTGAGACTTTCAACAATTACTCCTCTCTTGTTCAGAGGTCTTCAGAATGTGGGCTTAGTGCAAGGCGGTAACTGTCCTGTAGGGTACATTAGTGATCACCCAAGCATTGTAGCTACAAGGCTACACATTTTGACTTAATTAATCGCGTCTCAATGGCTGAAACTGAGTTGACTTTAACATCGTTAGATCCCAACAAGCTACTGGTCCGGATCAGATTCCTGATCAGTCCTGTCCTACGGGTTTCTGCCTCGGTATTGGCCGATCCCATGGCGAGACTGATCAACATACTTCCAGCTGAATGGAACTAGCGGAAAATCTGTCCTGTCTTCAAGAAAGATGATGAGCTTAACGAGTCAAAATACAGGCCAATATCCATCCTTGTATTATTGGACAAAGTTCTCCAGAGCTAGATGTGTGGAAAAACAACTAGCTCGATACTTCACCCCTTACTTGTCTAAGTTCTTGGCCTATAGAAAGGGACATAGCTGTGTGGCGGTACTACTGCGACTCACCGAGGACTGGAGAGGAGCGCTTGACAACAATTCTGTGGCTGGGACTGTCACGATGGACTTTTAAGAACGTGTTCAACAAATAGGGTGCAAGGAGGGGGGGGGGGGAGGACTGCAGCCCTACCAAGCGTAAATTTCAGCCCCCCTCCCCACGTTTCGGTGCAAAGGTTTTGCTTTCAAATTGATGTAGACTGTGGCAAGCTTGGCCAGCAGCTTCACCTCTTAAATGATGCAGTAAAAACCGCGCTGCCCGAAGTACGTCAGGTTACAAATATAAGAACCATTTGCGAAGATCTTAACGAAACTCCTAATCTGATTTCTGTGCTCTTGAAGCCCCCCATCTGGGTGAATTGATTTATGCTTATGGTTAATTGTTGTGGTTCAGTGACTGGAGCTCGATTCGCCGCATATATTCAACAAATGCAATGACTGAAATCGATATTTAAAATCCTTGTTTAATCATGAAAATGTACATAGTAGAATAAAAATTCTCCCTGACAACGATCATGATTTGCATTGTCTGGGGTATGAAAATGTATACGTCCTGAAATCGAACAACACAGTATCGATACAGCATCTGGCCGCTGACAGTTGATGTTAATACGTTCTGAAATTTTCTTTCACATTTTATTTCGTTCCACTGCCGTGAACTCAGTATAAGTTTGTTTGGTTTGCGTGATTTCCTTCTATTGATTACGGAGTTCAGTTTTAGGTCAGCTGAGGATTGCTTGCTGCCTTTAGTGGAACTTGTAACTGGCACAGCTAGTAGCTAGTACATACACTAAGTAATCAGAAGGCGTCTTCAAGATCTTGCTATCGTAAAGGTATTTGGCCGGAGCAAGATTTTAAGAGAGGTCTCGTGAGCTTTCAATGTACGTATAAATATTCTGCATACATTTTTGAACATGCGACGTTAGCTGGATTAAAAACATCAGTTTGCAAATATACTTCTTTGTTTGCTTTGTAGAGAAGCAACTGTTTCCGGTTGATTCAATTAACTGTGATACACATTTAAAATGCAGCAATGCAATACAATAAACAAACGCAAATTGAGAGAGTTGCCGTCGATGACGATACTAAATTGTCTTACCAGTTTCAAATTTGGGATAATTATATCATCCTACCTGCAATGGGGACACAAACGAAGGATAGAAGTAGAGCCTTGGCAGCGAAGACGACCAACTTCCTCATGATAGACCTCGATAACTTCCTCAAGATGCCATGGATACCTACAGGTGAAAACATAATTTATTGGTCTATGTGATAGGGTCAGCAGAGCAAAGTTAAGATCTAATTTACATATCTTTCAAGGGGTAACCCGAAAACACTGACACCCGGTCCGTGGACCCCCACTACGGTCCGGGTCCGCGGACTACCTATGGACCGGTCCACGGACTCCCCCTACGGACCCCCTCTACGGAACACCTCCAAAATATAATGAAAATGATAAATAGATAAATATTCCAGTTACGGGTTGTCTAATAGATTGCTCGTGACGGCGAAATTTCAAAAGTTACATTGTGCAAATGTAACAGACTTGGATTCACACATTGTTTCCTTTGCTGTGGCCATAAAGTATACGAAAGACGCGTACGGGGAAGCCTCCAGGAAGCCTCCAGGAAGCCTCAAAATTTGTGTTCTTTCCCTTCTGCCATTTTGTTCAGTCCATTCTCCCGTGGGTTCGTGAACTCGTTCCAGGCCTCACAATTTGCTCAGCGGAATAACTGATACAACTAAGATTAAACAACCTAAAAATATATCTTCCATAGCCAGATTGAGCCACGAATGGATAGTAAGAACTTTTCCTCTTACCATCGGCATCTCCTTACGCTGAACTGAATATCTTTTAGGCATTTTTTTTTTT